CAAGTTGTTATATCTTAGAAAATACTTCCATGCCTTCTCAGAATTTGGACATAGTTGAAAGAAGATAATTTTTCTAAGTACTGCTCCTATTTAGATAAACCTGACAAAACACCACATGGACAGAATTCCCACACATTATAAAATTGGGTTTTCACATTTCAAGCCTCTGCCAGACTTAACCTTCAAATTGCACATTCAGATGTTATATGTTTATTCATTTCTTTTACAAGGATCACTCCCAAATAATTAGATCAGGACTGTAGTGCTGCTGGCTGAATTTAACCTTTATTTTTCTCCAGCCTGCTGTTTGCCATGTTCATTTATCCGGTTAGTGGTTTTGAAAAAGAACCAAGATGCAAAGAAATCCATCCCCGCCCCCATTTTGTTTTTGTTTTTAAACAAGCCTCCTTCCTTATTAACTCCTCCGCCAACCATGTAAAGACAAACTCAGCCTAATTTAGGGCATTTGAACTCTAGTAGTTCCTAGAGCATTGCTGAAAGAGGATGCCATTCTGAGAATATACTTCCTTTCTTTGAAGTCGGGGTACATGATTACACTAACATTATAGAGACTTTTTATGCAATCCATAAAAATTCTGATGTACCTGGCTCATCTAGTGATCCATATTCATTTACCTTTGTCTTGTCTCCTTTATAAATATGTACTTCCGGCATGTACACTGATTCATTCTAGCTCAGTAGTTCAGAGGCCATGATATACTAGGTGGCAAACCTTCTAGTATTTTACTAATCTTTATCCTGTTAGTTAAAACTGTGTCATGAGGTGTTTCATTGAAGTTACCTCCAGGATCCAAATTGTAATGGATGCAAATGTATCAGCTTGCAGGAAGGTAATTACAGTAAATTTGTAACGTTATAATAATATTACAGCTTTAATTCTTTCTGAATTCAGTAATTCAGGAACATAATTTTTGATATAGTCTCCCTTTTAATTTATTCATATATCAATAAGTATTTTTATAAAGAATATCCTACTTTCCCCCAAAGCTCAAACTTATTAATATAAAAAATAAGACTATAACTGGAATAATCAATCCCAAAAATAAATGTAATGTTCAACTTGGTTGGAGTGTAGAGTGCTAAATAGTCAAGTGCTTAATATTCTGTAAGGGTTGAATATGGTTTCCCATGTAAAATAAGAGGCTGTACTGCAACTAAAAGGAGTACAAATTAGGCAATGCTATTGCACTGTATACTAGTGTCATATCTAATCTGACTAGATATTGTGGTCTCATACTAGTTCATTGACGTAATAGTTATGTTATAGTAAATGAATTTAACTGATGGATTCAAATCCCAGTATATTCTGTCTGTACACACATTTGTACAATAATGATTATAAATCCCACAAGGTCTGTATGTATAAGGGATCTTAAAATCCAGTGTATCAAGTTCATGATACACTGAGCATCTTAAAGCCAGTGGTGTAATTTATCAAATAATATCTGTGCCATATTAAACAATCACACAACCATTATTGGTCATTCTCTTTCACTGCTAAACCAAGGGGGTTTAGGCCAAGATTGTATTATTAGGTATGAGGATCTCTATTACCCCTGGTGCAAACTATTGAGTGTTTAAAGCATTTGTTGTTATTAGATTTTCCCTTTAGCAGAGGGATAGCCTCTCTGATTGCTGGTTAAGAACTTACTTCTCACTGCATGACTAGCTTTGTTATTAAATGTATAAAATTCTCAATTCTCACATGTTTCTAGTAGAAAAGAAGCAGGTGTTTTCCAAATTTCAGTTTTCTGTTATGCAAGAATCCCAGCAATGTTTATATTTTTCAGAGTTAATTTGTCACCCAAGTTTTTTCATATATGATCATGAATCCTTGCAGTATGGTCTCATAGTATAGTATAGTGCAGTGCAGTTCAGTGCAGTGCAATGCAATGCTTGGAAGTGAATAACTTTTTTAAAACATGCATGGACAACAGCACTATCCTAAAGAGAATTTTTTTCTCATGGGAATGTCAAATCTCAAAAGAATTATATTCTAGATAAGCTTGGGAACAGTAAGAGCTACTAAATGCTAGCATTCTGTTGTCCATTGTTTCTCTTATCATTTAATCGGGTGTGTTCCTCTCATTCAAAACTGCAGACAGTTTTACTTCTGTTTGTTTTTGCTGGCTCCTTTCTGACCTTCTCCATACTAAAAGAATTGATCACGCTGGGTTGATGCGAACAGTAGCAGTGTTCATACGGATTGATTTCTGTTTGATGTTAAATGAGTTTTATTCAAGAGCATGTCATAATTGCCTTAGCACTTTACTCTTTCTCCCTTTCTCTCTGTGAGATCTATATGTTGTCTTATGTCCACTAATCTGAGGAATGATAACATCATCAACTAAATGTTTACAACTCTAAGGAATTTGTTTTAAATTACAGCATGTATATTTTTTCCACAGCAGATGGTTCCATATTATTATTGATTTTGTTCATTCTGCATTATATCTTTACTAGATAGTCAAACCCTATGTTATAGTCTCAGCTGGGATCTCTTTGTTCAGTTTTTATTCCTAATAATTTAAACATGAAATTCCAAAACTTTGTTTCTATAGCAACTAACATGGCCTACTCTAGGGCCAGCATTTTCTTTCAAGTAGGGGTGAAAACCAGCCAGATCCATCAGCCAGCAGAATGTTTACTGCTAGCAGAATAAATTCCTTCATTCCCTATTATACCCATATGCCCTCAAATCTGCTCTCCAAAATACATTTAGGAGGGCAGAAATAGAGATCTCTCCTGCAAAATTGAATATGCCCTAATTTTAGTCATGATTTTCATAAGGGAACATCTCTTTATTTTGAATGAGCTTAAATCTTCAGAATCAGAATCAGATGAATTGCACCCCTCCCAGACTTGAACATTTTCTTTTTTTCCCCCAACAGACGTTTTCACTGAGATGATTATCACCAGAGTAGACAGTATTAGAAGTCACAGCGGATCTGATTCCTTCTAGGTCCCCTTAGCATCTGCAAAAACATACATATTTGTGTATGTGAAACTTATTAAAATCTATATTTCTTTGTACATATTTCTATGTATCTTTTGAGAACACTCATGTAAATGTTAGTATCTTAGACATGTGGTCTCAAAAGATACAGGTTTTTTCTAAGTTTTGTCATACCAGTTGATCAGTCTATTCTCCTTGTTTGGGGCATAAGCCCTTCAAGGTTGTACTCTCAAGGAATTCATCAACAGGAAATTTAGACACAGGTATTCTCTGTCACTGCTCCCCTTTTCTGAAATACTGTGCTTCTAGAGATCTGATGGTCCCCTATACATTGGGGATTCAATAAAGCCATTAAGATTTGGCTATTTCAGCAAGCCCTTGAGACTTGAAAGGTGGCATCGTTTCTTCCTGTAGGGAAATACTTGTCAATTAAGTGGTTTTCCTGGTGCTTTTCTTTCTTTTTCTTTGTTATTGTTGTTTTGTTATGTTATTGTTTGGTATTTTTAATATGGTTATTGAATGAAATATGTAAGCCGCTCAGAGTCACTTTTTAATTGGATCAGCATATAAACCTGGTAGATAAATAAACAATGAAGAGCTCAGTTCTTTCTATCTTTTGCTCCCGTTTGTGCCCCTTACTCTGCTCTGACAAAGTAAAGGTTGTATTGGTGGCCCCAAGACTGTAATATTTCATAAATATTAAGTAGAGCCTGAGAAACATTAGAAACTTTGGTTTATGTAGTATAGTGCCTTTGGAAGGTATCTGAGAGGGAGAAACAGGGATGGGGGCAGAGACTTTGCAGGAGAAGGGAGTTTCTAAATGATAAAAGACAAATTACAAAGTGAATCAGAAGAAGCTGGTCAAGGAGAGATTGGAGTTGGGGTGGGGATGAAAAAGGAAGATACTACATAATCTAAAATACTGGAAAACTTGCCTGGGAAAGGAGAAACAGAGTTCCTCAGTGGCAGAGTGAGCTTAATAGATTGTCATGTCCAGGTCACAGTCCAAAGGTTTAGATCAGTGCTTTTCAAGCTCAGCAACTTTAAGATGCGTGGACTTCAACTCTCAGCATTCTGGCTGGGGAATTCTGGGAGTTGAAGTCCACATATCTTAAAGTTGCTAAAGTTGAGAAATACTGGTTTAGATGCAAGATACACTATGGTTGGAGTCTTTATTGGAAAAAAATGAGAGTCTATGGTTGGAGTCTTTATTGGAAAAAAATGAGAGTCTATGGTTGGAGTCTTTATTGGAAAAAAATGAGAGTCTATGGTTGGAGTCTTTATTGGAAAAAAATGAGAGTCATGGACAACATGGAGATTGACAGTTTTCTCCAGATGAAAAATGTGCACATTATGTTCAAAGAAAGTGATTAAAAATAGTTTTAGGACATCCAAAATCAGCTATAGGCCATGAAAATAAAAATAAATCAACTTCTTCCATTCGAAACAAAAAAGTGGCTGACTACTTTTCTGGACAGAGAAACACTGTTCACAGATCACATATTTCAATTGTCAGTTAAAGAGTGGCAATGTGTTGTCCTGAATTCATGAGACTAGAGAGATATTTGAGCATTTCCAAGCTCTCCTAGGATACCATTTTCCATTTCAATACAACTTTTGTCAGATAAGTTGGAGATTGAGAGGCCAAAATGGGTAGATATGAAGCGATAAAATAGTTTCAATAGATGGTGATATTGGAGTCAGGTTTATTAGCTACATAGATTTACTGTAGATAACATGAAGTATTTCTAAAAAATGTGTTTTCCCTCTTAAAACATTTATTTCCATTTAAACTGTATTGAAGTAATGTTTAGTAATGTGGTTGTTTGAAACTTGTTCATATAAAATAAAACAGAAGAGTTTTAAATAAATCTTGAACAGAAATATACGTTGATCATGTCCAATTTTAAATAATATTTCAAGGAAAGAAAGTGATAATCTTCTGCATTATAAACCTTTAATATGTAAAATGGTAACATTAAATTAATGTGTGGTATATAGATATTTTATTTTCATTTCCCAGAAACCAGCAAATATTCTAGTAATGGGAGAAGGTCCTGAAAGAGGAAGAGTCAAGATAGGTAAGTTTTACAATTACATGTATTTATACATTTAAGTGCAATAGAAATTAATAGAAATCCAATGCAAGGCATCTAGAGCACACTGACTTACAGATGGTGTAAATAGTTGGGCCCAAAGGAGAGCCCATAGGAGAGTGTGAGAGTGGAAAATGATTTTCCTGTATCCATCCAGGAGCCTCCAGAATTCAGCTGAATGTGGTTAGCAGTGGGTAAGTGAACTGCCAAATAATACAGGAGAAAGTCTCATGTTCCCAGGAAATCAGTAGTAACTTGTTTTTCATTTAATGAGAGACACTACCATAAAAAGAATGTGCTGCACTGGTATAACACAGTGGGCGCAAGGAGGAACATTTAGAATTATACAATGTTTATAAAATATAAGTTGCTAGGGTAGGTTGTTATTACCTCTAAAATTTCCAGGCTACCTCCAAAAGCCCCAGAAATATCTAATGGAAACTGTTTGTGCCATGGATGAAATCCAGATGAGAAGCTTCTGTGTACATTAATGGCAGGAAACTGTTTAGAGTGATTGATGTATGAACCAGTTTTAAGGAGATGAATAGGAGTAGATATATGCTGTAGCAGCAATAACAATGCATATTAAAGACTGGTGTTACCAGTTTCTCTGGTTCTTGGGGCCACTGAAAATGAACAATTAAAACTGGGTATATTTATTCTTCACCTATGACTGACTGAATGTTTAAAAGCTTGAGATCTTAAGTCTGTGGGTAGAATTTATTTTTTCTGTGGATGACTACCAAAAATTGCTAGATCTGAAAAATTGTTATTTACCTATCTACTACAGAGCACTTTAAAGCGGAATTTTACAAGCTGTTTACTTGAGATTAATTATTAGTTACAATATCATGAAGCTTCACTCCAGACATAGCAATGGATCATCACTCTCCAGATACTGAACTGCATATTCATGAACTTGCTTAATGTGAACATTCATAGACTTTACACGACTATGTTAGTTGTTTTATTATTTAGTTTAATGAAGCCATATTAACACAGAAGATATTCCTGCTGCACTACACAAAAATTCAAGCCTATTTATGTTTCTTTGTTTTGGGATTTAAATTCTAGGCCTTTTCCCCATATTTTTTGAGTCAATGGAAATTTGTCCATTCTCTTCATAGTTTTGAGATTAGAGAGCAGTACTGACATAATGGTTCACTCTGGCCTGGGAATCAGGCTTCCTGCTTTACCAGTTTCATTCTTTATACTTATACTTTATACTTATCCTGCTTTAATTGATGGTTTCAATGGCAAAAAAAAGACTTTCCTATTTCAAAAATTCCCAGTAAAATGTTCTCTGCCCTCTACTTTTTTTTTTCCTGCAAAAATTTTATCACTCACCAGTCAGAATCCACTGGACAATACACATTTTGCACAGAGCCAGTCACTAGTTACCAGATGGTGCTGTGGGATAAATCTAATTGTAATAATCTGCTATATTCCATAATAAGATGTACCTAGCACCTATGTTGAGGCACAATTTACACGTGTTTACAACAGAACATAAATGCATGTGTCTTTCAGAGTCCCTTCTAACCAACTGTTGCCATTTTGAGGTCAGAAACCCATGCAAACCAAGGTGTAAACCATAAATTACACTTAACATCTGGTTACAGCAATCCTTGCCTTAATTACCTCTCATTTACATTGCTTTATTCAAACCTGCTTTTGTAAATTGTTCAGAAAATTCATTTAGCGTAAAATAGGGAAGCTGGACTTTTTCTGGCATATGCTTATTAAATTGTATAAGACTACTCTTATTGTAATTAAATTGGTTTCCAGTGTGTTGCTCAGATCAGTTCAGGGTACTGGTTCTCATCTATAAAGCTCCAGATCAGCCTTCCTGAATCTGGTACCCAACAGATGTATTACTTATAGAATTCATCAGTCTCAGCTAGCATGACCATCAAAAAGGTTTGATATATCACTGTTTTACTAGTCTAGGTATATGATAAGTATGATCTATATAATGCCAGTAAGAATGGATTCAGAGTACTGCTTCTTAGGATAGGTTTAACTGAAGACAATCTTTTCCTGCATTAATCTCTCAAGCAAGATGTGTGGGACTAAGCTTTTTTAATCATAGTATCTCCATTAAAATACTTCCCAGAGAGGTTTGCCTGACAGTATCTTTATTTTCTGTTTGGTGCTAAGAGAAAACTTGGTCTGCCAACCCTTCTAATGTTAAGCTGTCCAGTGTTTTAGACATAATTCAAGAAAAGTGGTTTGGAGTGTGGGGACACGTGCACATCACTCCTGCCTACTTCTGAAAGCAGTTGCACGTTTTCTCAGATTGCACAGCAGCTACAGAAAGCAGCTATGCAATCCTGGGTAAAGACCAGCTACTTTAAAGAGCCACACATAGAGGCTATGTTTATGCCCCGCATGCCATAAAGCATCTTTTGGGAACTGAATCTGAAGTGTTTCGTAACAGCACTGTATGTCCTTTATGCTAGGTATTAAAATCTTTGACTGTAATAAGTTTAATATCTATTTATCTGAAAAAGAAGATAACTTTGTTTTTAATAATAATATGGATGTGTTCAGGCTTCCATAAATCATTTATATTTCTAATAGCTACACAGTACATTTCTTCTGGCCTAAGTTAGGTCATATTTGGTATAATATAGTAAATAATGGTACTGTCTTCACTGATGATAATTCAGGTCAATAGGCTTGTTCAAAAGCACTCATGCTCAGTTTATGATGTTAAAGAAGTGGCAATAGGGAATGTTTGCAGCTCCTAACATAGTTGAAATGCATTATGATTATCAATGTTTTTGATAATATGTTCAGGATTGCCAGCAATGCTAGTGTATTAGTGCACACAAATACACGGTTTGGATTGGGGAGTAACTTTCAGTTATTAAGCCAAAAAATAAGCTAAGTAATAACTTCAACTAGGGCCCATGAGAAAGTTCTGGGTGGGGCAGCAATGTAAGATTGTGTACGTGGCCTACCTTTGCACATACTGAGGTAAATGAGACATTGATAATATCAGGAATAGCAGTATAATAGAATTTACTTTTGAAAAGTTTTGTTTGGTGTAATACAGATACTGATTATTTTGCAGCTGATATGGGTTTTGCAAGGCTATTCAATTCTCCCCTTAAGCCGCTGGCAGACCTGGATCCAGTTGTGGTGACATTTTGGTACAGAGCTCCAGAATTGTTACTTGGGGCACGGCACTACACTAAGGCGATTGGTAAGCGTTTTGATTTTTTTTAAAAAAAATAGCTCAATAATTATTAGATATTTGTGCAGAATAAATGTGAGGATTATAAAGCTCTTAAGTAGTTCAACACTTTAAATGTCTAGTCCATTTAGAAATAAAATACGGTTCTGTCAATACATACAAATTAGAGCATGCCCAAATTACATGCACTGTTATTTGAGAATGTTTCACAAATATTTTGAATGGGTTTCTATGAGATGTAATTGGTTTTTATTCCAATAACATCCAACTGCCACTTCCTTTTCTGATCTCTTGCGGCAAGAGATTCTGTACCAGATTTTGGTCATCTCTGTCCAAAAACCTTCTGTATCTGTGGGAAAAAGAGCAACATGTTTTCATCAGATCATTTCCTCTGCCTACCTTCACCAATCTGGGTTGTCCAAATGTATATGGATGGGGACTTCCAGATTCTCCAGCCAGCATGAACCCATGCAGCTTGGGAATTCTGGGTTTGCAGTTCTGACATATTTGGATGATACCTGGTTGAAGAAGATTGTGCTTTGCTGATAATTTTAAAACTTGAGGATAGTGCCTCTAGGAGTTGAAGAGCTGAAGAATAAACTATGCTGATACAGCCTTATAAAGTCATGCCCCTCTAATGGCCACTTAGTAACCATCTTCTATTTTTTATCTATCAATTTTATTTGATTGTCTGAACTGCCTGATACTCCTCCAGAACCATTATTTACATTGATTAATCACTACCTTCAGAGATCAAGTCCTCTTTTGATGTTAGCCATCTCACATATTTAATTTCTTTGGCTTACTATTTTTCATTCCTTTTCTGCACTCCATGTTACATTGTTTACCCTGGGAAAGAATAGCCTGTGTGTATGATTCTCTGAGGGAAAAATGTAAAAAAAAAAAGTTGGGGAATGATATAAAGACATCTAAACTGTGAGGGAGGCTGTAGTACAGGTTGGACTATTACTGGGGTTGTAAAACTGCAGAATTCTGAACGTCATTCCCGTCATGTACTTGTGTTTCTATGATATATTAATGAGGTCAGTATACATGCTTTAGAGACACTGCTGTTGAACTCTATTGCCAAGTGTATGGATGTGTTAGTAATTCTTATTTGGACAAGGGGAAATATATATGTAGGAACAGAAGGACAGAACAAGAAAAAATGGTTTTTTTTAATTAAACATCTCCATTCTGTCATGCTTCTTTTCTCTCTGTCCATGCCCTTCTCAAAATACCATTATTCTAAACGTGATATTGTGTACATGTACACTAATACATGATCAGAGTAATAATAAGGTTGATCAGCCAGGTATTTCCCTGGAGATATGCTTGTATCCAGCAACATACAGTATATAGATTCAGATTCATTCTCCCCCCACCCCAAAGAACATTTAAACATTTCTTAAAAGTGCAAGATTAGTGAAGCAGGACTCTTTCACACACAGAATATTTCTTCACTTCTAAGATTCAGGAATCAGGATAGAGGAAAATTACTTTCTAAAATCCATGCCTCATATTTAAGTCCAATTCTCTTCTGTTGGGACTTACAAGATTGATATCAGCCCTACAAGTTAGAACAGACTTAGAAACCAATGCCATATGGGTCAGGACTATTTTTATTGTAATAACTATAATAACAGAATCTTGCAAGTCTGAATGTGCTTCCCCCCACCCCAAACTTTATCTTCATGTGAACTAGGGAGGGGTTTGAGACGTTTTCTCAAGTTATTTTCTCGGCCCAGGGTCATGTGCTGCTATTTTTGTTTACTGATTTAAAAGATACACCCACTACCCTTTGGGAGAGGCTTCAGAGTTTTATGCAGAAAGAATATAATACCTTAAATATATGAAATGTAGTCATTGGTGAGGGGAATTAAACAAAGATATAGAATGCAGATGAACAGAAGACGGGTGGAATTGGACAAAAACATGTTAAAACTAATTATCAAGCTTATTCTGAGATGGTGAAGGTAACAAAGAATAATTTTTCACTAACATTGTATTCACAGTTTTGTCCTGCAGGGATTTTTCAGGTGATCTGAAAAATTATTTTTATAGGCTAATTAAAGGGGGCAAAGCCCGACTCTTGATTGCCTGTTGGGACACATTTGCTATGGATAAGGTTGCTCAGAGTGCCATGCTCAGGACTTCATGACTGATGCAAGCCATTATTTGGCTGAAAAGATTGTGAAGCAGCCCCATGAGCCTAATAAATGATGTGACTGCTTTAACAGTTCAAAGAGAGATGCTTCATGTATGCTCCCAAAGCACCTCTTTACAACACCTTGTACAATCATAGCATCTTCCCTTTGGATGGCTTGTGTTCAGTTTCTTCAACGGTCCTATGAGGTTTTCCTTCTTAATATACATTCATTGTCAAGTTCTACTCAACTTGTTGGATCCAGAATCATGGCACCGTGATTGCTTTCCTTCCTTGGGTTTTGGGCTTGGTCTGCAGATATTTTACATTTTAATCTGCAGTTGATCACAGAGCTCATTGGTGACTTTGGATCTGTCAGTCAGTCTGAGCCCAACCTACCTCATCAAGTCATGGTTGTGAGGATAAAATTAGAAGAGAACTTCATATAAACAGCCTTGAACTGCTAGAGAAAGGTGGGATTTAAATACTACTAATAATAATAATTCAATAATAACAGATATCATTCCTTTTTGTATACACGGGGGCTTGTCCCAAATTATTCGGTAGTATCTAACAAAAACAAACCCTTCATTTGGATACTGGTTCACTGAGTTCCTTTAACTTGTATTTAGTTGATCTGGAACATGGAAGTGGTAGCATTTCAGAGAATATCACCTTGGAGGCCCTGGCTTCCAGTATCCAATTTAACAACTTAATTTGCCCTTCCAGAGTTTCATAATTAGATTTTTTTCACATCAATGATGCTGGTGTTTTTATTTCTCCTACCACCCCATCCCATGTATACTAACTGTAGTGAATGTGGGGAAATTTTATGTCATGAGATCCAGACACAGAAAGATTAAAAGGCAAGTTAGTAGATCTGTCCATCTAGATAATGGGCAGAGACAACTGAAGCCCAGAAAATCAGAGGCCAAGAAGCCAATCAAGAGGGTGAATATCCCCTCTGGGCTTTAAAAATGGTGTAGGCAACTTCCATTTTGACTTTGCTTTTGTCTTATGTGTTTTTCCTTTAAGACTGGCTGAAGGCAAGGTAAGAGCAAAGCCCCCAGCCAGCAGTAACCAAGCTGGAACTTAGTGAATTTGGACAGCAAGCTAGAATCAGCGAAGCTAGTTGTGGCATAGATCCTGTTCTTGTGAGAAGCAGGTGGGGGAGGAAGAGTTCAGTTTATGTGCAAAAGGCAGCTGTTTGTACCCCTGACTAGCATTGAAGATGCCTTCCTGAACTACATGTGGTTTTTGCTCCTTTGGTTCAACAGCTATGTGGGGCTTGACAATTCTGTTTTATGGGCTGAGATCTGGGTTATATGAATCTGTTTTGGAGTGTATCCATTTGTGTGAGATCCAAGGTCTGAGGAAGCAGCTAGTCCCTAAACTGATAGGAACTGAACTTATTCCTTTCAGAAAGTAACTGTCTGTTCCTATTCCCCTTTTATTTCCTTTCAAACTTTCTTCTAAGCCTTGAACCTAGATATAATAAAGATTTAGAATTCTTAATGAACCAGTGGGGCTCATTCTGAGAAAGGAATCTAACTTTTAGCACACATCGCCCTGATGAGTTAGGCTACTAAAGGAAGAGTGTTACCACTTGCATCATTCCTGGTAAACCAGTGATAGAGGGGATTTTCCTGGAAATCCTGAATGGCTGGTAGCATTCATAGTTGACTGTGCCCAGGAGTTGCAGGGAGGATGTGGCACAGTTGTGAAAGGAGGGTTTGGAGACCCATTGTGGGAATGAATGGGGTTTCAAGCCATCACATTCTTGATGCATTATTCCAGCCCATTTATATAACATGACTTTATAGGAAGTCTTCAAGCTGTTCATTACCCAGGAGATGGATACTGTCTAAGGACCTTTTTTTTCTTCCTCAGAATGCTTTCTCTGCAACTGATATAGATTGTGGCTAGTTGGGAATAGTGCTGCTAGGATTTTTTAAAATAAATGCAACTATTATAGTGGAGACTTTCCTAGTTTGCTTTTCCAGCTAGTTGGTCCTGATTAATCCCTGATTCCCTTAGATCGCAACCTTAAATTGAAGCTTTGGAAGTCCTTTCCCTTAGCTCCTGTTGACTCCCTAGAGATTTCTGATCACAGTTTGTCACCATCTGTCACCTCCAGCCAAGAGATGCTTATCTCTGTCTTACCACAGACTCCAGATAATAAGCTGGTCAAGTTTGTGGGTGATACCGAATAATTCAGAGTGGCAAACTGAAAACGTGATTGTGAAAAGATTCAGAAGGGTCTCTTTAAACTGGGTGAATGATCATCCAAATAGCAAATAGAGTCAGTTTAAGTAAGTGTAAGGTGATGCACATTGCAACAACTCTTGTCTGAACATATGCAGTACACTGATGTAGTCTGAACTGCTTGTAACTAAGAAAAGTATCTTGAGACCGCAACCCAGAAAAGATGTTGACTTAGTGGACAGCAGCTATGAAAAAGGCAAATTCTGTGCTAAGGATCATTAGGAAAGAGATTGAACAATAAAACTGCTAATTTTGCAATCTCTTTATGCCAATCTATGTTATACTCACATCTGGAATATTGTGCAGAGTTCTGGTCACCCGATTGGAAAAAAAAGATATAATAGAGCTGGAAAAAGTGCAGAAGAGGCCAACTAAGAGGATCAAGGCACTCAAACACTTTTTCTATGAGAAAAGACTAGAACTTTGGGGACTTGTGCATAAAATCATGCATGGCATGAAGAAAATGGCTAGGGGGGAAATTTCTCTCTTAAAACATTGGAACCAGGGATCCTCTCCTGAAGCTAACTGGAAGAATATTTAGAACGTACAAAAGAAGTGACTTTTTCACACAGTGCATGACTAACCCGTAGAATTCATTATCACGAGATGTAGTAACAGGCATTAATTTAAATGGCTTTCAAAGGGTCTGTCAAAGGCTACTAATCTTGAGGATTCATTGCTATTAAGGATGCGAGAAACTCACAGATTCAGGATGTGCAAAATTCACTAAGGCAGGAGTAGAACTTTCTGTTTCCTTCTGAGCCATGAACCGTTCCCAAACTTATGGCATTCTGGGGAAACTGGAAGCAGTTTGTGGTGCTCTTGAGATTAATCTAGCCCCAAAACAGGCTTGTGTCATCCAAAATGTTGCAAGAACTTGATGATTCTAGGTGAAGTAGGTGTTGTGGAAGGATACCGCATAGCACTTTTTGTCTATTTTATTTTATTCTATTCTGTCTACTCTTTCATGTAAAGGGAATTATCATAAATTCAGGATAGTATTTTTCTATATAAACATGGTAATACCTTACTCATTTGATAGGTCCTCAAATGAAATTTATGCACTGTTTGTTCATCTTGTTATAACAACACTATTTCACTTTTTGTCTGACTGTTATATACCTAGTGTGATGAATAGTTAAATGTAATATTTTAATTTTTTAAAAAACTGTAACTATTTAGATTTTATATATTATAATGTTTCCTAGATATATGGGCTATTGGCTGTATATTTGCTGAGCTATTGACTTCAGAACCTATATTTCACTGTCGTCAGGAAGACATCAAAACAAGCAATCCTTTTCATCACGATCAGCTTGATCGCATATTTAGTGTCATGGGATTTCCTGCAGGTAATTCCGTGTCCCTTAAAGCCTTATAAGAAATCTTTGATCTGGATTGTTTTCAATAAATTAATTTTTCATCATATGCATGCATTCCATTCAATTTCAATTTTATTATGGCCTTTGGCCAGCAAATTCATATGTGTGTAGAACTATAAGATAGTCTGTGTACGGTATCTTTTCTTGTGTTTTTTAATACTTTCCAAATTTTTTACTTTATAAAGATAAAGACTGGGAAGACATTAGGAAAATGCCAGAATATCCTACACTTCAAAAAGACTTTAGAAGAACAACGTAAGTTATATATTTCTGGTCATTATGTTTTAAATATATAATTATTGGTATATGGTTTTTACTATCTTTATTTGGGAATGAAGTTTGGTAGTATGAGGAAGCATGATGTAGACTTGGGCATAAAGTTTCACCCTTCTCTACCTTTCTCTCCATGAAAGAATCATAGTTTGTAACAAATCCTTTTTTTTGTTTTTGTTTTTATGAATTTGGGAAACAGATTCATCAAACTTAATGGAAAAAAACAGGATAAATTCAGCATGACCAAGAAACAAATTTGATTTGGACCGTATGTGAAATTTCAAATGTCCTTTCCTCATAGAAAGAGGGAGTATAGGTAGTCCTTACTTTAAGAATGAGTTCCATTCCCAAGTCAAATTTTATGTAAGCCATATAATACTGTATAAGTAGTATTGTGCAGTTAACTCAAACCACTGTATATTTAACTCAAATTATTGTGTATTTAACTCAAATTTTGCTATAATAAGCTCCATTCTTAATTATGGGTTGTCTGTAAACCAGACATTGTTAACCCAGGACTACCTGTATGTCATATTGAGACTTTCACTACAGCACATAAGTATAAATCATGAGTTGTATCTGAATATGGCTATAGGTAGTCCTCACTTACCAACTACAGTTGGGATTGGCAATTCTGTCACTAAGCAACACGGTCGTAAAATGAAACATCACATGACCACGCCCAACCATGATGTCATTTCTGGCTGCAGTTGTTAAGCAAATCACTGCAGTCAAGCACAATATCATGTGACTGTGACTTTTGACTTCCTGCCAGCTTCCCCAGTGACTTTGCTTGTTGAATGCCAGCTTTGAAGATTGCAAATGGTGATCACATGACTGCAAGATGCTGCAACCGTCATAAATGTGCAGCGGTTGCCAAGCATCCAGATTGCAATCACATGACTGCAGGGACACTGTAATGGCTGCAGGTTCAAGGACCAGTTGTAAATCTCTTTTTTACTGCCATTGTAACTTCGAATGGTTGCTGAACAAGCAATCAGTAAGCAAGGACTACCTGTATTTTTAAATTCCTTCTTGAGGCTTAAAATACTACTGTTTCACTTGTCCCATTTGGATGATTATCATTTGTTATACAAGTTGCCCTTCAGCTGCATTAGAAGAAATGGGCAGCCTTGTGTTGTGTGGGATCAATTTTTTTCTTCTGGAATTTGAGGTTCACCAGCCGGAGTCCAGGTGCAAAATAATGGCTTATTAAGGCAGATACGTGCTGTTAAGTATCTATGTCCCTCTGGATAAATGATCGACCAAGAGATTTGTCATCAGTATCAAAATCAAGCTCAGAATTTTACTTTAAAGATTCTTCCCTTTAAAGATTATTTTTTCAGTAATCTAGTTTAATGGATAATTGCTTTTTAGTTGCCGTTTTTAGAAGTTGAGAGTCAGGTCCAAACAGGAACAGTAGCCCTAACAGGGACAGTAAATTATATCAGTATTGATAGAGTTGCATAAGATGCGTTTCCAGACTCAATTCAAGATGTAGGCAACTTGTGCCCTTCACACAAGTTCCTCAGTTTCAATTCCCATCATCACTGAATACTCCTAAGAACCACAGATTCCCATTATTAGGCTATGTGCCTCGCAAATAAAATCTTCAGTGGAGGCCCTTCTCCAGATATTCTACTGCTGCTTGGAATTTGAGATGATGAATACAAAGATTCAAATTATCACATTTCATTCCTGAGCATGGGCAACTGATGAATCCTATTATCTCATAACCCTAACTTATATTATTTTATATTATTTATTTATTTATTTTATATATTTTCCTACCTAGTACTTATATTATTTTGTATTATTTATTTATTTTATATATTATCTTATGTAGACCTGATCTGATCTGATCTAGTAATATCTGGACTCTAAAATCTGTACTGCTTTCTGTATCTCCTTGCTGCTGTTCTGGTGGAGTTTTGCAACCCAAATATGGCAATCCAGATTTTACCTTACTTGACCATTCAGAAGGATTTGATCTGCATTTTTAAAATATTTGCTTCCTATTTTAATTTTAATTTTTGGTTTCATTAACTTTGGTGAGGGGGAAAGAGCTGTGTTACTCAATGGACACAAGGTAGACATGGAATCTAATAGCACCTTCAAAACTAATTTTATTGGGGCATTAGCTTTCTTCCACAGTAGCTCACTTCAACAGATCCATAGTGGGACTTGCACTCTGTGCATCTGATGAAGTGAGCTGCTATTCACAAAAGTTTATGTCCCAGTAAAGTTGATTAGTCATGAAGGTGCTATCTGACTCCATATCTATTTTATTACTTTTGTTTCTGCTGCCTGTTGCTTTTATGCTTTAATTATGTATGTTTTCACATTAGTTTTATTAGTCATTTCAGACTTGGTAAAAAGACTACCATTAAAATATATACATGCAGACACATATTATGACACATTAGAGAAACCTAGATTAGTGATCTTTATAATTGCTTTAATGTATTCCACAGCAGAGCCTAATTCAACATTTGTTTTATCTATTGTTCAGTTAAACGGGATTGGCACCTGTAAACTGGTCCATTGTACGGACCAGTAAATAAAAGCTTTTGGTGTAATTAACATATAGTAAAACTTTTCTTTATTTTTGATGCTGCATTATTCTTTTGATTTTATTCTTCATTTCTTTTTCCAGATATGCCAATAGTAGCCTCATCAAATACATGGAAAAACACAAAGTCAAGCCTGATAGCAAAGTATTCCTTTTGGTAAGTGACATGGTAGTTTTATCTTTTTCTCTTTAAGTAAATTACACAGTTAGTATTAAATAGCTGGAGAAGAAATGCTTTGTTGCTGCTGAGGTCATCTTTTGTTCTGTAAAGTTAACAGTGCAATCTGTTGCTTAGTGCATTTCTACTCAGAAGTAAGCCCCATTGATTTCAGTGAGGATTACTCTCAGGAAAGGATATATAAGATGTCAGCCTTAGTATATTCTGGCAGAAAATGAGTTTAAAAATGTACAAATCTAAATTATAATGCATCAAAGAGCCTAAATTCTTTCCAGTGGCCAGCTCTGGCCTCTTTTTTAATATCATTAAAAACTTTATCAAAGCTGACATTAATAATGCATGTATCATTAACTAAGTTGTCAGGTGTATATCTCTGCTTTTCTCCAGGAATTCAAGGTGGCATATCTAATACTTTTGCCTTCAATTTTTCCCCACAATACCATTGTGGCATAGGCTGAGCTAAAAATACTGGCTGGGCCAGTCATCCACTGAGCTTCCTTGGCTGAACCATGAGCTCCATAAGGTTCTGTGACTTATTGCCAAGCCCACTGGATCAACTTACTTTCCATTTCTGAATATCAATTACCATGGGAGGACAAGTCTAATAGGGGCATTCTGTCGGCTCCATGTTTAGATGAAGGGAGAGCCATTGTGGTGGAATGAAGATTGGATTGGATTGGATTGGATTGGATTGGATTGGATTGGATTGGATTGGATTGGATTAGATTGGATTGGATTGGATTAGATTAGATTAGATTAGATTAGATTAGATTAGATTAGATTAGATTAGATTAGATTAGATTAGATTGCCATTTGGTCTCCGCCTGCCAGAATGTTTTCCCCTTCTTGTGCTGTGCTATGATGAATGTAAGGGAGACCTCTACATTTTATGTTTTCCTCAGAGGCTATACCCTCTGAATTAGAAGTTACTGGTTCACACTGCACTGGGTTGTGCTGTAATTTTATAACTATAGTAATAACTACTATGATCTGATGCATATTTTCTGTATATAGAATCCCATAAGTTTGTTTGCATTTGTTTTATTTTAGTATTATTGGCCATGCATGTCAGTGAGTTTTACTGAGAAATTCATATAAGCTGATTTCTTTGCAGCTTCAAAAACTTCTGACTATGGATCCGACCAAAAGAATTACCTCAGAGCAAGCTTTGCAGGATCCTTACTTCCAGGAAGACCCATTGCCTACATCAGAGTATGTTTTTTTCCTGTTCTTTGGATTCCTTCCTCCCCTACTGAACAATATAATTTACTCTCCAAGTAACTCTCTAAACTTATATAAAAATAAAATATTAGCTATGAATGTGTTTGATATGTCTCTGAAATATCTACTGAATAACACAAAAGATTTGTCTTTTATAATAGAGCCACACTCAGATTTTAAATGGCATATCAGAGGCTCCATTCTCAAAGTAGTGTGCACAATATACATTTATATTTAAACTGAACTGAATTTAGAAATAAAATAAATCCAGTCATTTATACAGATTTCTTTGCTAGTTAAAGATTTCATTGCAATTTGCAGCCTCTGAGGAAATGCTGCAGAGATGACAGATCCCCTGCATGAGATTATTATCAGCTTTTTCTCTGGTTTTATGGAAGTATGCTTTTATTTCTATGAAACCTAGTTCTGACTAAACATGGATACAACTGCATAGTAAATTACTTGAATTATACCCTATAAGATGAGTACACTAGATGTATTTTGCTCAGTGAGGTGACAAATTGAGGGGCAAAAAAACCCTTATCAAATATTATTTACTAAATCCTTTGTAAGCAGCAGTAATGCTAAAAATGATTTTAGGAACACTTTTTCAAATAGATGCTAAATGAGACAGAAACTTCAGCCAAATAATTCTTCTTATGCTATAGTTACCTAGTGCTTTTCATCTGATTTGAAATGAAGTTTGATATCATGCCTTGTTCTAAAAAATAATTAATTATAGCCTTTCTATATAGATTTGGCAGGATTGTAAACAAAATGGCACTGCTACCATCTTGGTTGCAGTACCTAATTATTAGTGCTTTCAGCTGATGGGTTTTGAAGGAATTGGGAAAAATCAGCACTTTTTCATAATGAATTAAATTGTTGATTTATTGCCCATATTTTCTGATACATATAAATTAGCGCAACAAAAGCAACTGAATTCTTTGTTTTTAGCTATCATGTTTGTTATTGCAAAATATTAGAAAAGTAGAATACATTTTTTTTTGCTGAATCAATGGTACAGTAGTGTCTCATTAAAGCCAATTGCCTTATCACAATTACCAAGAAAAAAAACTGCCAAGTTTGTACAGTAAAGGAATCAA